GAGGGATGAATTGTAAAAATTCTTTAGTCGACTAACTTTGTTCTTAGTTGACTACCGAGGTTCTGCAGACAATAGTTAGTACAGCAAATAAAGATAATAGAGAGTAATAAAAATAAACAGGAGAGACAGAGATTTTTTATACCGGTTCGTGTACAGATGTGGCACCTACATCCAGTTCCCTTGGGTCACAAGGGTTCTCTCTCCAATCGAACAGTTACAAATGAGAGTGTGTTTTTCCTCACGTTTACCACAAACGAGTTACAAATGAATTCTTGACGCAATCTTTCAATTGCTTTCTTTTTCTCTCTATCTTTTGAGACACTAGTAAGCTTAGGAATACAGTGTTTTTTTTAAGAAGTAGAAAGATTGAAAACTTGTATGAAAGCTGCGTAAGTTCCTACGTCCTTTCTTCTCTTCTTATATAGAACTTGATGAGGCTGTTTGTTCCTTTCTCTGAGATTTTGGAAATCGTTGATTATAATTTTCCTTTCGAGGCAATGTATTCTAAGAGTAAGACCCAAGGGTTGCCTCTTGAATCTAGCATACGAAATAGGGCTAGATTCAACCTTAATCAATGTGCTGTATCTGCCTTGGACTCAAAAGCTTTCAATTCTTGTAATCTTCTTTCCAATCTCTTAATTTGAGTCTTCCGTCGATTTTGCACAGTTGATTGATTCCCTTTCCTTCCTTGTTTCCCTGATGCACGCATTTGATGGAGGGATTCGAATGTGACAGTTACCGTTGGACCTTCTTTGGTTTCTTCCCTATTCTGGTGCACTGATCTTGCGGACTTTCCTTCTTGTGCTTTTGATAGTTGACCTGCGCAAGTGGTAGATACATTAGTAGAGAGTGTTTGACTTTTATTTTTAGTCATCATTTAAATTCGAAACCTAACAAACTGGTGAATACTCCCTTAAGTTGTAGTGTATAATCCACTGCGTACCAAAAAGATTCAAGAGCATGTTCTGTAGATCTATCGCTACTATGCAATGTAAAAACCAATGCTTGGCACTCTCACAATCTGATTTACACAAATAGCACTAGTTGCATAATTTGAAACTCCTCCTCATCAGGTTTTCATGTGTAAGACAAGCCTCGCACATCAATAACTAGGTGAAACAAACTGCTTAAATGGGGCCTTTGTTTTCCAAATGATTTTCCATGGCCGATTTTCAATTATATTGTGTTCCTTCTCTAGGACTTGATAACAATCTTTGATTGAGAACAGACCTCTGCTATTGTTGCTCCAGCTTATCCGATCCTGCCTTTCTGGGTTTTCTTATGTGATCCACTTTGTTAAGTTTAGTAGCTCTATTCCTGGTCTTGGCGGTTCCTCCTTACCAGGATGTTCCAGCCTCTGCTCCCTGCTTAGTATGACCTTTTGTTGTTGAGAGTTCGTGACCTTTATTGGCTTCATTACACATAACTCTTCTTAGCCGATTGATTGAGGTGTCATTACAGATAAGCATGTTCATACCTTTTGTTGTTGAGAGTTCGTGACCTTTATTGGCTTCATTACACTTAACTCTTCTTAGCCGTTTGATTGAGGTGTCATTACAGATAAGCATGTTCATGCCTTTAGTTCATCCTACAGGTAACAAAGTGAGGGATTTCCATCTTCTAGATATATTTATTGCTGAGTCAAATTTATGGGGTATATACACGTTTCATAATGTAGGAGTTCTGAAGGTTAGATTCTGCTCTAACCACTTTTTAGATCACATGATTAATTGTTGAAATATATTAGTTTTTCTATACTCCCTCCGTGTCTGTATATGGTACTTTTGAAGTCTATGGATATGCAAATATTATTATTTGCAAGCTGATCAAGTGACTCTGGCTCTTCAATACTTCTGTACTGTTGATAGCTAAAGTGACTAGGCTATGACATGTATGGTTGAAATAGAATTTCAAAAATCATACATGGCAACTGCCAACTGGTTCATATTCCAGTCCAGAATGAGTTAATTTCTCTTTGTTTACCATTTACGAATCTAGCCATTATTGCTGGTTGTTTTGTTTTATTCTGTTTTTCTCAGTATATTTGTGTTTGGCAAGTTCTTCATTAGTCTTAGCTTTTGCTCATGTGACACCTTTAATTTGCAGCTGGAGTTCCAATTGAAAACATCTTGTATCTTGGTGGACCTAATATTGCATCTGAGATTTACAATAGAGAATACGCTAATGCTCGGATATGTGGAGCTGAGAAATGGCGGAAAGCACTGGCAAAATTTTTGAGGCACCCACATTTTATTGTGTGGGACAATGGTGACCTGGTAACTCATGAGGTCATGGGTGGTCTAAAGAATGTATACGCCATTGGAGCTGGTATAATCCTTTCGTTGTTCTGGTGCAAAGTTTTACGTCGCTTGCTATCTGTAAACTTTTTTACAGTGCATATATTGTCTAGAATTGGCTTTTTGAGTTGTGTCTGGGCTTGACTGAGGCGTGCAACATATCATCTCCTAATTTCTGCTATCACTGTTTGTTCCCTTTCTTTTTTAACTTGGGGTTTGGGAGCTTTCAGCAGTCTGGTGGTGATCAATTGCAGCTTCTCGCGAAAGCTGATCACAAGATTCCTGAATTTCTTGTCCATTTGAGATCAGAATAGTTCTCAGGGAATTCTCATCAGTAAATAGATCAAGAATGTCAGGGCATCCACAGTTTGCGTCTGATACTTCTATATACTGCAATATCCTTCTTGAAATCATGAATAATAACATCTCTAGTTCCTCTGATTATGGCAGTATAACATCGTAGTTTGATCTCTTTAAACCTCAGAATTGCGCGATACTGTTAGTTGCTAAGTTACATATGAAACCACATATTTACACACTGTTTTCTACTCAACAGGTATGGTAGCAGCTCTTACTAATGAAAGTGCCACGAGCAAGTCAGTATACTTTGCACACTGTACATCTGAGATGATATTCATTACACATCTCCTGTCGGAAGGACCCGAGAAGCTTGCAGGTCCTCTTCTGGCTGATACATATGTGACCCTGTTGAAAGGTCGTAATGCTTGGTATGGCCAAAAGTTGGCCAAGGGAGAAATAAACCTTGATATGGGTGACAGCATCAAGGGAAAGGGAATGATACAGGTATATTCTAGAATACTTTACATACAGACATACAGTGACTAGCAGCGTGTGACCAACAATAAATCTCTAATGATAGTTTGCTGGAGCCTATGTGATTTTATATAGTTAATATAAGAGATGTTTACTGATACTATTTCACTTATCAAAACAAAAAACGCAAAAGAAATGTCTATTGATGTACTACGAACAGAAGTTGTAGAAGTTACAAAGACGTTTAGCATCCTTTGAAATTGCTGTTTCCATAACGTTACTGATTTAATTTATGGAGGATATCGTACCCCAACTAGAGCTGCAACAGAGTTCTATGGATAATTGAAATCATGTATGTAGGCTAACCTGCTATCAATTTGTGCAGGGAGTTTCAGCAGTAAAAGCCTTCTATGAGTTACTTAGTCAGTCCAGTTTAAATGTTTATCACCCTGATGAAAACAAACATGTTGCTCCTGTTGAACTTTGTCCCTTATTGAAGACATTGCACAAAATACTGATAGTGAGGTACTTAAAATGCTTGCCGCTTTCCCTCTTATGTTTGCAGTTCTTTTAGTTAAAAATAATCTGACTACTGTTGGTGCGTTGAAACTACAGGGAGGTTTCATCAGAGGCAATACTTCAGGCCTTGAGAGACGAAACTATGAATGATCCGCGCGATCGTATTGAGATAGCACAAAGCCATGCCTTCTACAAACCTTCATTACTTGGGCAGTAGCCTTTATTAAGAGGCCTTTGCACACAGCCATCACGTACTATTCGGTCATCCAATTTCTTCGGCAGTAGCTTCTTTAGGTGTTATATGTTCATTCAATTTTGTAATATGCTCTTAGACAATTGGTTATCAGGAGCGCTATCTTGAAGAATGCGAATTGTTGTTGTATCATGTTTTTTGATTTATTCAATCTTTCACTGAAGTTATTGCTTTAAAGTCTCCTTTTTGCTTCGTGAAAACTCAAAAGAAAGGAATACTATATGAAGAGTTAGTGCTGGGATAGATAGTATTGTAAAGAGAAATAGATGAATCTTGTTTTACCGCAAATTAATGATCCGATTCAATCTTCAGGGGAAAAAAGAGATTGATAATTCCAATGTTTGATGCAAACCATGTTTAATCGTCAAACTAATTTTTGTAATCAAAAGAATCAATATACTTTTACCACATAGCTAAGTATATCAAGAAACGTTTCAAGAACCTTTTTTTTTTTTAAAAAAATGCTCAGAAATTTTCTTCAAAAAGAATGCTTTTTAACAATGGTACAAATAAGAAAAGTAATAAAAAAAAAAAATTGACCCTGAACCTTATTAACTAATCAAAAGAATGTAATATCTCTTGCCAACAAAAATTTAAGTTGTCATAATTCCATCGCTAGAATATAAGGAATATAAAAGAGGGAACATACAGAGAGAGGAGTTTCCAGAAAGAAAAGAAATACTCCATAAACATGTCTTTGGTGGACTATGCATCGTCCGACGAAGAAGAAGAAGAGCTTAAAGAAGATAAACAACTTCCCAAAGCGGAGGAACCCACCCCTCCTTCAGCCCCTTTAGACCCATTACCAACCAGAAACCAGAATCCCCATCTTCCTCAGCCGCAAAACCAGTTAGTAATCCCTTGCATTCAGTTCAGTTTTCTATTTATAGGGTTTTGTTCTTTGTATCTCTTTGGCTAGTTTCGTCTTTCCTTATGTTTTCCCCACTGTTCTTTGCACCAAAGAAAGCAATCCCTATTTGAGATAATTTGTGGGTTTTAATTATTTTTGCCTAATGGGTCATGATTTTTTTCTTTTTTTTTTCTTTTTTTTTTGGTCTTAGACTTGGACTGTGGGTTGATAATAAAGGAGGAGTCCATTATTTAGATGTTCATTCAACTATCCGAAATTATCTAGGAAAAAACTTAACTTTGTATACCTAATAAGCTATGACATAGAATACAACTGTAAAGTTAATTGGAGCAGCAGGGATTGACACCGAATGTAATAAGAAATGAATCTTGCTCAATCTAATAGGAATTGTGCTTGTGAACTTGTGCTCAAATCCTAATGAACTACCATAAAGGAAAGACATATTAAGATAATGGAACATCTCTTAATTTAATGATTAATGAGAGAGCTGCCTATTTAGGCCAAGGGGATGGGTAGGAGCAAGGATGATGGAAAAGGAAAAGAAGGAAAAACAAGGGAAAGAAAATGGTTCTGGCTCTTCACTTATTGCATTCACACCCTGCTAATAGAACAGTGCCCTCTTTCTGCATTATCTGGAGCAAAGCTAATCCGAGTATTGTCCACACTGCCTCTTTGAGAGAGGGGAGAGTATGATACAGGGTGGGATAAAATAATAAGCCTGCGGAAAATTTTCTGAATTTTTGCATTTTGCTTCCACATTTATGTGTCAAATATGCTTAGGAAGGCTGCTAGCATGGGATTTTGTTGTTGATGTTTTTCTTAATAAGTTGATAGCATGGGAATTGGTTAATATGATACTAGTAGATTTTAAAGTTTTGAACACCTAAGAGCACTTCGAAGGTATAGTTAAGTGTAGATTACTGTGTTAGAAAGAATGACTGGTGTTGGCTGAGAATATCCAAAGCCGATAATGGGGACTGGTCAGTCCAATAGTGTGCTATAAAGCTTCTGTCTTCTATGTGGTTGCGTTATGCAGTCATTAGTAAATTTGCTTCGTTTCAAAGGGGAAGATATTCTGAAAATCTGACTCATGCAGCTCAACTCTACATTTTGGTATGCTACTGTTGATGAGTAGTCGAAACATATGATCTTATTTCTTCAACTTTGATGTCTAGTGGAAACTATGGATGATATGCATTTAGCGGAGGAACTTTTGCTTTATACTCATATAATGATGAATTGCATGTTTATACTTTGGCAATGCTTAAGTTGCAAATTTATCCTATGGCAATGCTTCAATTATATTTCGTTGCATATGCAGGAGGACTAGTTTGTCATTAAATAAAGAAGCATTACATTTGTCAAGCTCATCGGAGTCCTCTGAACTGAAACTTCCTGATGCATCAGTTCTGTTAAACTCACCCTCAATGCCAGTTGGATACATGACTGACCATTCTTCCCGAGTTGCAGCAGCCATGGCTGAAAATGCATCACGGAAGCGGGATAAAAATGTGTCTGCATCCACTTATCCACGCAGTAAGATTCCAAAAGGAACTTTGCCTCACATGAAGAATGTTCCTGAAACAGGAAGTGGTCTTCTGGTCCCACCTCAACTTGCTGGAAGGTCAGTTCGTGACTGAAATTTTTAGTCTCGTTGCATGCTCTGTATTAAGTTCGTCTATATATGGAAGTTGTATCATGTATCACTATCTGTTCTTTTTTGTTCGGGCCTATATGGTGTTTTGCCTAATCCTCCTCAAGTTGAAGTCCAATTTTCTGGAAAGAAAGTTCTTCCTCCTGTATATAACACCGTTATTGGGCCGACTTCTATTCATTTCATTTCAACCATGTCAGTCGCAGAAATTCAACTTGTAAGGCTTGGGTTAATTATCATAAAGAAACATAATAATACTAATAACAATAATAATCTGGGATATTTAGATATGTCTTTCACATCCCGTCAACTGAGGTTCTCTTTTTTCCTTCTTTTATGTAATTATAAATGAAAAAAGGAAACTTTTTCTGCTGTTCTTCTTCATAATAATACTTGTCAAGGCATTCAGGTTTTATGCCGATAATAAAGGAGGCATCACTAATTACTTCGTTTTATTAGCACCAAGAATAATAGTTTTTGGTATCATGGTACAAAGTCTCTTCATCTGGCTTGAATTAGGAGAGCACTCCTCAATTCTTTTTATTTGGTAAGAAGGGAAAACACCAATTCATCATAGCAACTAAATCCTTATGCAGGCTCACTATAGGAGGTCTATTTTCTGCTATTGCCTTGTCCAACTTTTTCTTCTTGTGCCGAGGGTCTATTCGGAAACAGCCTCTCTACCTCCAAGGTAGGGGTAAGGTTTGCGTACACTACCCTCCCCAGACCCCACTTGTGGGATTATACTGGGTTGTTGTTGTTGTTGCCTTGTCCAAATTTAAAGAACGATTGGGAACTCCTCGTGACACGAATAAGTAGGATTACGATTTTCCATCAGGATTATAGACATGCATTGTGTAAGCAAGTAATGAAATCTCAGTATGTAGATTTCATTTACAGTTGTGAGAAATTCTAGCAGCAGAAAAAATTTCAGGTGGTAAACTTCTTTTGAAGCAGAAATCTAATCAAATGTTGCATGTGGTTTTGATTTTTCCAGCAACAACTGGAAGCATAGCAAACAAATGCAGGGGGGAGTTAGGAGGGAGGGCCAATAGGTGGTCGTGGGGAAATTTATTGCACTGGTATAACTAGAGTAGAGTAGTGAAAAAGAACAGAATAGCAGCACAGAACCATGGGGAAATATAGGTGGAAAAAAATGGACTTAACGGAGGAAAAAGTAGCACAGAAGGAGACAAAGTTAGAAAATGAGAGAAATGCAAACAGGAAAAAAAAAGGCAGAAGGGGAAAGAATATGGAAGAGGAAGAGTACCCACCAAATTACGCTTCTGCATGGTCATAATTTTAGCCTGAAGAAAAATATGAGACTAGGGCGGAGGACCCATTAAATTACTGGTAATGCACGTTTATAGATTAGACAGAAGGGGAAGGAGGAAATTATGGCAGATGACTGCTAATGGATGGTTATAGATTAGAGTAACTCTTAAGATTCAGCATTAATATCTCACTTAAGCCCAAAATTGATGAGCCATACGTTTGTTTCCATGATCAAAGTAGCATAGACTCGGGGTTGAATAGACATGGGGATTGGTGAGTTATAGGGGCGTGTTGATGGGTAATTGCTTACAAAAGGTACCCTTTACCAATAAAAAAATTGCTTACATACATATGTTTTAGAGAGCATAGGAAGATGAAAATCAAGGGCGAAACAGTGAGGGAAATAAGCAAATAGAAGTGGAGAAAACTGAAATTTTTTGGAATTAGATGACATCATCAGTTTCCTTTGGCATCATGTCTTAAATTGGATTTGCACCACCATTTAAAGAAAGCAAAGTGCTCTAAAATTATCTTATAGCTGACCTATCCGATACAAACTCTAGTCTTTCTGATGCCACAGCTGTACAAAGTACTTGTGAAGTATATGACCTAATCATTCTTTTATAGAAGATTCCTAAAACCAGCTAGGGAGCCATGTTATAGATTTTGTGCTGGTAGCTGATGTTTTAGTTATGACAACTAATGGATGTTTTTAATTAACTTGTGCAGGAGCAACGTTGTTACAGAAGACATCAGCAAGCTGTTTGTGAAGAAGACGTCGTCTTAGTTGCACACACCTATGACAGAAATTTCTGTTGACCTGACTGTAGTTTTATTTCAGTAGATTCTGTATCAGACTCGTAAAAGATACATTAACTACTACATTGTTGTAGGATATCTGGTTGTATTGATACTTTGATGGTTGTATTGGCTACAAGCAGTTTTGGTTGAGTTTGAAGTGATCAACTGCTTTTTGTATATAATTTCTGCAACCATATATTCTTAGAGTGTTGATTGGTTCTTGAAATGTGTTATCATGTTAAGTGGAGCATTTTATTGAATTGAATAGTTGCCAGTTTCCAGCTGCCATTCCACCTTGGTTTTCTTAGGATTTGTTGCTTGCACTCGTTCGGAGGCTGCCTGAATTTGTGTACAGGATCCAATGTTGCTATCTTTATACTATTGACTATTGAGTGGTGGCCACTAGCGAGCAAGAGGTCGAGGTGGGAGGACGAGGCAAGTAATAGACACGAACTCTGCTTTGTTCAAGATCTCAACACAACTTTATGATCATATTATGTGACACCATTATATCACCTACGAAACATCAAGGTGTGTAACAGTAGCATAATCCATAATGATGCACAACTAAGCTTTGTGGTTATCCCAAACCCGACAGACAGAACAGTACCCCGTTCCCGTTGACAAGCAAAAACCTAATTGTGGCATGATTAGCCAAGCAATAGAAATCACCTGAGATGTCCAGTGTCAGATGTGTCAATTTTCCATAATTCAAAGACAGCAATTTATCCATTTGACATCCCTGGGTCCTATTACAAGTTTATGGTTTGGGGTTTAGAGCTTAAAGTACATATTAGCTTTTGGGAATCTCCAATTTTTTGGGGGAAAAAACAATCAGAAATAGCCAGATTTACAACGGGTAATTGAAAAATAGCTACAAATTCAACATAATATGCTGAAAATTTATAAGCAGGAGCTTCATAATTTAGCATATTATGCTGGAACTTTCTGTGTTTTAGCAAAGCAATAGCTATATTTCGATGACTTTGCAAATGCTAGTTATTTTACAATTACCCGTCCGAAATTGGATAGCGCGTGCTATTATTTTTCACCCATTTGTTTGTACAAAACCCAAATTTGGGCCAAATTATATAGGAGTATATATTTTTATTTTATGTGATATTATTTCTTTATTAATTCATTCAAAAAAGACTACATAATACATTTTTATATTCAAAAATAATTTAACTTTAAATTCTTATTTCTATACTTAATGAGAATTGATAAACTTTTATAATCACACAAATATTATACGTTTAAGACCATAAATTCAAAAGTCTGTAGTCATGCAAATATTATGATATATTTAAGACGACGAATTTTATTAGTTCATTTTTATTTCTTAAAATTTGTGTTGAGTCAAATTGTTACACTAGTTTTAGGTAAGCGCTTTGCACGTGTATCCATATCCATAAATACATAATTTTAGAAATATCACATAAGTATTATAATTTGTTTAAATTATATAAAGTATAAAATAAAAGTTTAAATAAATCCTGAAATGATAATTATTTCCATGTAGCTATCTCAAAAAATGAAGAATCTTTTGACAAAAAAAAAAAATAATGAAGAATCTTATCTCATAAAAATTTACAAATGTCTTATTGTGATTTATGAGGATTTATGATGAAGTATCTTGTGAAAATTATTGTTATTTATCTGACCTAATACCGAACACAAAACATAAAAATACTTTTATCATAATTCTTATAGATTTGTCAAATAACATAAAATGAGTATGTATCCATTATCATTTTTTACTGAATGCAAGAAAGAAAGAAAAATGAAATGACAACTCATTTATAATACATTTTGTCTTCTACTATTTTATCCTTATTGCTTTATATTTATTTTTTTACCGTTTGACTTTTAAATTTATACTATAATCGATTTTGCTTTAGTTTTTATTTCTTTCACCGCTAGTGCGCTTCTTATGAAATTAAATTATGTACCTTAAGAGTTTTTTTAACTTGTCAAATAATTTTACTTATATGTTAAAATTGGAAAAAATTTGAATTGAATTCTTTTGCTAATTTGCTCTCAATATTAAAGAAGTAACTTAATCTTTTTGTTAATTCAACTCCTTAAGAATATTCAATAGTAATTATAACTTTATGCAATAAGAATTCTATTTCAATAAACAAATCATATGTAAGCTTTGGATCTTTTGTGTTATTAAAATTATTGGGTTGGACTCGTATAACTTAGCTAAATTATAGTAGTTTCTAACGTTTATATAAGAAAATTTATATAAGGTAAAACTCTTAATTGATTTTGAAGGACTAAATATTAGGATTTTCTACCTAGTTCAATAAGGAAAAGCCGACAAGTTAAATAAGCAAATTTTTGGTTGATTTTAAAATCCTAAAAATTAGGATTGTAATATAAATTACAATTGTGTCCAATATGTAACATATTTTAAAATAGTAAAAAAGGCGAACGATATTTCGCTAAGAGTCTTCGTGCTTTTTATACAGTACTAGTCTCTATGTACGTGCCTTGCACGTAAACCATAGGCGCATGTAATAGTTAACAAAAAATATGTGAATATAGTTTTTTTCCGGATATATTTTAGTTTTTTACAAACGTTTTTTAGCCTCTAAGAACGATAAATCCGGCAAATTATTTTGTATAAATGCCATTAAAATATGTGTCGCGCGTGTAATAGTTAACATACAATATGTGAATATACTTTTTTTCTCGTATACATTTTAGTTTTTTACAAATGCTTTTTAGCCTCTAAGTAAAGTAAACGATAATTCCGGTAAACTATTTTGTATAAATGCCATTAAAATATGTATGTGGCTTACAAGCTTTCAACATCCATAAATTGGAACTTTTTAATAAATAAGCTTGTATTCTCAGACATATGAAAGTACAATCACATAATAAAAACATAACATTATAAAATCAAGAAAAAAAACATATACTTCTTAATGCAATCTAATGAATATATCAGGTAAAAGGAGTCTATTACTTGTAACAATATAGAGGAACAAAAGAAGAGAGTGGTTATGTCTAATGGTGAACAACGACATCTAGCTAAGTCTTCTTTTCTTTTTCTGAGAGAGGTTGGTTAGGATAAATATCATAGTGTACCAACTTAAGGTTTTTGTTTGAACACCAATACTGGTAAGAGCTGGATTTTTAATGTGATTAGAATAAACATAGATTCAAATATATAAAATATATATAATTATTTTCTAGAAAATTAATTTTTTCTTTTTTACAAGTAGATTACTACACATATTGTGAAACAACAGAAAAACACAAGGAAAATTAGTTTGAGATAAAGGAAGTGCTTGTATCATGGAGAAGTCTAGCTTGTTGATAACCATAAAATTTAAGGAACCTGATTCTTCCATTTAATAGACTGATGCTATTAACATTAAGTTCCCACGATGAAATTTTGTTGCCACCCAAAAGGTTGTTTGCTTGCACTCGTGTCTGCAGCACGAGACAAAAGAGAGATAAGCAGGAAAAAGAAGTCTTCCATGGAGGGATCTACCATATGAATTAATATTATCCTCTGCATAATTAATAGCAATAACCATAAGTCCGTAACTGACACTTTTGAAGATTATGAACACCAGAAAAGCTCTAACCTTTTCGCCTATTAACTCTGTAATGTAGTAATAACCCAAGATATTATTTAGCAAGGTAGAAGAAAATTGGCAGCTCAAAGTAAGAGAAATTGTGGCATAAATTAACCGAATCTCGGGGAAAATAAAAAATACAACCAAATCATTAATCACTATTTACCAAGTGCAACTATAACTTATGTAAATTATAAGAAATTGTACAATTGAAAAAGAAACAAAATCTCAAAGAAAAAAAGTTCGAGCATTGTTCTATATCTATATGCTATCAAACATTCTACTAACTCCCAAGTGATGCCCATCAAAATTACTGCTGTCACAGCAAAGGATGGGATTCTCGGCATCGAAGCCCATTAACGAAGCCCTGCAAACAGATTCTTTTTTTTGGGTTTCCCATCTGGTGTTCGGTATCCACATTGGAGCTCGACTAAATCCGGTTTCGCGCCGGGAAGTCCCACATTGGGGGGTAAAGCGCTCTCTAACAAAGGCGTCTCCATACCCAGGGGCTCGAACTCGAGACCTCTGGTTAAGGATGAAGCAGTACTTACCACTCCACCACAACATAGAGATTATTGAAAGAATTAATTACTCGACTGTACACATATCTCATAGGCCAAACACATATCCAACCCATTCAATTTGGCCTCATTTTTCATTTTGGCACTCTATCTCAATCTTGTTCCATTTAGGCCCTCCAACTCTATTTTATATGTTTCATTTTATCCTCCAACTCTATTTCTTATGTTCCACTTTAACACAAAAGTTGAAACCAGTGCAAAAAATATAGCGCGTGTGTATACATAAATCTGAGGTGTAATAAATATCCAATTAAATGTTGCCACCTAGTTTTTTCATCCATGTCAAATGAGTCAATACTAAAATACCCGAACCCGATTGTATTTTTTTATCCACTGTTGCCGCATCTTCATTCTCAAAGTTTCAAAGTTTTCATCTGCCGATTTCGTACATGTCCATCTAGAAAATTTCAAACTTCTACAATTTTATTGTTCGTTTATTTATTCTGATTTTTTTGAGTGTGGGTTTATTTCATTTAAGCTTGAAGTTTGAATTGAATCCATGTCTCAAAGAAAATTATTTTTTCATAATGGAATGAATATTTGTTCTTGTGGATTTCAAGTCGAACCGAAAGTATCATGGACACCAATAAATCCAGGTCGGCGCTTTTATGGGTATAAATTTGACAAAATAAGTAAACCATTTTCGGATTTCATTTTCAGTGTAGTCATTTTCTTGTGTAAATAAGAAGCAGACTTAATTTTACCCAAATACGATCAAGTTTACGTATTTTAGTATTGACCCGTTTGACGTGAATGAAAAAACCAGGTGACAACATTTAATTGGATATTTATTACACATCATATTTGTGTACACACACGCGCTATATTTTTTGCATGGTTTCAACTTTTGTGTTAAAGTGGAACATAAAAAATAGAATTTGAGGGCCAAAATAAAATATCTATACTATATTAAAAGCACGAAGGCCCTTAGCGAAATGTCGTTCGCCTTTTTTACCCTTTTAAAATACCTTTCATAATGGATAAAATTGTAATTCAAGTACTTTCGTAATATTTAGGACGTTGAAATCAATTAAAACTTTGCATATTAA